GAGAGAGAGAGAGAGAGAGAGAGAGAGAGAGAGAGAGAATAAAAGGCCAACATAGCCAGCCAGGGGAGAAGCTAAGATCTTTGCCAGAAGAGTGTTCTTGGGACCAGCAGACTGGGGGTCCAGGTGCCTCCACCATAGTTGCAGCCCCTCCCCTCCCCAGAGAGGACACTATAGCCTCAGTGGGCTCCACAGGACCCTGGAAAATTCTCTTCCATGTCTTCAAAGGTGGCTTCTCTTGGCTCAGGCCCTGCTGGTTGCAGAGCTGGTGGGGTGGGGCTCAGATAGGCAGATAACCAGCTGAGGGACGAGGCTGAGGCCTGAGTCCTAGAGCAGAAGCATTGTAACCCCTGGAGTGTGCGTCTGCGTGTGCGTGTGCCTGTGAGTGTGTGTGTGTGTGTGCGTGCGTAGAGGAAAAGGGCTGAACTGGAGAAGAAAGTGGGTCTGAGTAGCTCTGAAGCCCCACCTGGTGGTACAATGCAGACACTGCAGCCAAAGGGGAATGGATGTGAGAAATGAGAAAGAAGGCTGAATCCGGCCCCAAGACAGTTGTGTTTGGCCTGTATCATATCTTTTGAAGAATTGATTCTGTGGCCAATATTTTTAAAATAAAGAGATTTCTCATAAAAATTTCACTCTCTGGTTTATGGAAGGATAATGAGATCAAGGACATAAGACTCCCAGTTGCTCTACCCCCACCCACCTCCTGGAACGTGTTGGAGGACTCAGGACAATTCAAAGCAGCTGTGCCTCTTGCAAGAGGTAGTACCTGTGCAGTTCTCTGCCTTAAGGTCATTTAGGCAGAACTGGAATGGATTCAGCGGATGCTAACAGGCACCCACTCCAGGAACACCCCAGTGGGCATGCTCAGCCACAGCCGCCAGGGGCCACAAGAGGAAACTGAGGAATCAGTGTTGTGCTGGGCCTCAGTCTGGTCCTTGGCCAGAAAATGGTTTTTTTTCACAGCTCCTCTCCCTGCCACAGCTTGCTTCCAACTTCACGTCTCACAATGAGGATGCTGTCCGTGTTGCTGATGGAATAACTTCGGTGGGATCAACTGGTTTGAACTTCTGCCAGGACTGGAATTGGGGCACCTGCATTGTAGCTGTCAGCCCCAGTCCTGCCCTGACCAAGCACTGCCCCTCCCCATGCCTCAGAAGTGGACCTGGATGACCCCCTCTCCCCTTCTCACTCTGGCCTTCTAGGTGCTGGTTTGGCAAAAGGCCTGGAGTGTATACTGACTACATCTACCAGGGCCCCATGATCTTGGTCCTGCTGGTAAGAACCTTGGTGGGGACAGAAGACAGGGCACAGTAGGGAGGGGCCATCAGTATCTGCAGTGGACAGAGAGGACCCTCTGCCTAGAGGTGGGGACCACTCAAGGAAGGGGCCCAGGCTAGGAAAGTGCAGGTGTTAATGAGGTGGAGAGAGAGCAGTGTAGGGCATCAAGGCTAGAACTGAGAAGGCTGAGGGCCTGTCCTGCCCCCCACCCCACATCCTGGGCACATCCACACTCCCGCTCCCCACTGGTGTGCTCAAATTGCAGATCAACTTTATCTTCCTTTTCAACATCGTCCGCATCCTCATGACCAAACTCCGGGCATCCACCACATCTGAGACCATTCAGTACAGGTACCTGGCTCCACCCCAACCCCCAACCCATGGGGGCTTCAGAGTCCCAGCCTGGTTTCCCCAGGCCTGGCAGTTCCTCCTGAATCCACAGCTCCCCCACTTCAGACATGCCCAAGATCTGCCCCCTTCCCCAGGTCCAGTCCTTGTTACCAGCCAGAGGCCTAACGTCTTCCAGCTGGGCTCTGACTGGGGGCCTCCCATCCCCATCCCCAGGAAGGCTGTGAAGGCCACTCTGGTGCTACTGCCTCTCCTGGGAATCACCTACATGCTGTTCTTTGTCAACCCTGGGGAGGACGAGGTCTCCCGGGTCGTCTTCATCTACTTCAATTCCTTCCTGGAATCCTTCCAGGTATGGCCTCCCTCCCTGCCTTGGGCCTGGCCACCCCCATCTCTGTAGGGCCAGGTGTGCACCTGCTTGGGTGGGGGTTCTCAGCAGAGACCTAGAGGCCCAGGAGGCCTGGGGCAGCCTAGGGTCAGGGGGACCCGCTTACATAGGCCTCTGACTGCCCCTCTGTCCTCCAGGGCTTCTTCGTGTCTGTGTTCTACTGTTTCCTCAACAGCGAGGTGAGGACCCAGGTGGGGGCTGGGCTTAGGATTCGGAGCCCACTAGGCCTGTCCCCTCCTGTACCTAGGGCAGGCTTTGCTCCCTGCTCCTGGGTTCATGTGGAATGCTGATGGGAAGTGCCAGCCCCTACCCACTCTGCTCCCGGGATGGCAGCCCTTTCCTTTGCCCCAGAGGCAGTGGGCACAGGGGACTGGAAGCCTGGGCTTTGGTCTTGCAAAAGAATCTGAAAACTAGGAAGTCTGAGCCCTTGGCAGTGCTTCTTCTGGGCCTAGGGTAGGGAATCTGCATGCCAAAAACCCAACAAATATGCAAACCAACTATGTACTGCTCCTCTGCTTGTGACAGGCTAGGGGAGGGAGCAAGTTCCAAGCCTCTGCCCTGTGTCCACAGGTCCGCTCTGCTATCCGGAAGAGGTGGCACCGATGGCAAGACAGACACTCCATCCGTGCCCGGGTAGCCCGTGCCATGTCCATCCCCACCTCCCCGACCCGGGTCAGCTTCCACAGCATCAAGCAGTCTACAGCACTCTGAGCTACAGGCCACGCAAAGCAGCCCCTGAGATCTGTGGCTGGGAAGACGAAGGCCAGGCTCACTGACCACCCCATGTGTGGAGGCAACCAGCGCCTCCCCCGCAGGAGCAGCAGCCCTGAAAGTCTGGGGGGCCCATACCTCCCAAATCAACAGGATTTCTACACTCATGATCGCACAGTAGCCTACAGGGCTGGGCTGGGCCCCCCACTGCCCCAGTCCTTGATGGGAATGGGATGGAAGTGGAAAGCTGGACCACGCACAGGGGCGCCCAGGGCCTCCTTAGAGCTGTCTTCTCACAGAGCACAGAGACCTGAGGGGTCCCCTGCAACTGTAGGGAAGTGACTCACTCTCCCAGGATATCATGGAAAACTAGCAACAGCATTCAGTCACCGTGATGCTCCGGGCCTTAGCAGTGTCTTTGGACACCACTGAGAACCAAGTAGGGAGCCTGGAGATATCATTCGAAATCAGATGATGTCATCAGATATTGGGCCACTCCCAGGTCACCAAAACATCACTGGCACCATGGCACTGCCACTACAAATGCCCTGCCTTGCTGCCTTGCACCCACAGATGTTTACTACCCTGTAGGTCACCCCAGCTTCCCCTTACTTACCCACCAAGAGTATCCTCACCAAGTCCTGCCACCTCCTGCCTCTAGGTGTCTCCCCATTTGGGGACTGCAGTGACACAAGAATGTGCTCAGCCAAGGCCAACCTCCCTTGAGAAACAAAGAACCATCGGGCCTGCAGCCTTTGGGGCAGGTGCTCAAGCCGAGCAAAGGGAAAGGGCCCCTCTCTGCCCAAGTGCCCTGGACAAGACAAGTGGCTCCTGGCACATCCAGCTGGCACACAGCTTGCCCCCCTCCGGGTGTAGACTGACCAGCCCCCAGCAGGACTGCCATGTCCAGAGAGTTCGGCTGACAGAGCATGCTTCAGGGGTGGGAACCAGGAGATGAGGGTGTCAGCTGTAAGGGGGAAGATGATGTAAATAATAATGTTTATCTTTTCAGCCAGCATTTGTGAAGGTCTGTACGCCACTGGGGGAGGGGGAGAGGGAGGTCTCAGAGAAGTGGGCACCTTTTTCAGCCTTATGGGGGCCAGTGTGCTGCTGAGAAACCAGACACTACTCACACCACATCTCGGGTGAGCCCACATGGGCTGAGAGCAGGGACAGAAGGACTTAGAGGCAAGAGAGGTCTGGCCAGGCCGGTTAGTAAAGGGCAGCTCTTGGCAAAGAGGAGAGTCAGGGAAAGAGGGTTAATGATGCAGGAGAGGATTGCAGGGGCAAGAGGACAGAGCAGGAGTGGGGCCTCAACCAGGGGAAGCCTCAAGCTGAGAAGCAGGTGACAGAGTTAGGAAGCTGAGCAGACCTGAGATGCTGTCCTAGACTAGGAGCACCCAGAAGCTGGCCTGAGACCAGGTCTCTATTATAAACTCAAAGGAGAACAGGGAGAGGGAGGACGAGTGAGGCCAGCCGAGGAGGGCAGCCAGGAAGGCCGGGTGTGTGACCCACCAGTATAGCTGCAGGTCACTGGAGCTTCATCTTGGGAAGCTGGGAGCAGAGTGGACCCTGCCCCTCCTTGCCTCATGAGGCTCGTGTCCCGCATCCATCTGAGAGCCCTCAGGCCAGCGCTTGGACAGTCAGGGGAAGGCAATGTGAGGTGCATTCTAAGGCCATGGAGTGTGGGTGAGGCACCAGACACTCACAAGGGCCCCCGTGCCACAAACGGTCCTCTGACCAGGGAGGAAGGTTGTGTAGAATGTATGAGCATATGCATATGCATACACACACACACACACACACACACACGCACACGCACACGCACATGGTTACATTCAAGGGTGTGGGGCATCAGGACACTGGGAACAGACCAAGCTAACTGTCACAAACCCCACCGTGGCACAGCATCTGGAGGAGATGAGGGTTCCTTGTGGGTCTCATGGGGTAGCCTGCCCTGCCAGTTTCCAAGTGGAGAGATCGGGGAGAGCCAGGGAATACCAGGACAGGGATGGGCTGGTGGGTTCCAGAGCACTCACTGGGGTGGGGATAAGGTGCAGGGAATAGCCCTCCTAGCTGACAAGAGGGACCAGAAGTGACTGCTGAGTAGCCACAGCTGAGATAATTCTCCACTGTGTTTCACACACTGCAGGATGGATGAGAGGTGAGGTAATTCCTGGACTGTGTGGAGGGGCTGAAGTGCATCCCAGGGAGGGAGGAGCCTCAGAGGGGCTGGGAGGGGTCTGAGCCTGTGCACTGCCCCCTCCCTGTTGTGCCTCCTGTTCGGAGCAGCTGCTGGACACCCTCTGGGTTGCCTACGTGCACTCAGCACAGTGCTGGGCCATGGGAAGAGAGAGGCAAATGGCTGCCCAGGATAGACGCCAGGGACCTGGTCAGAGCCCCTGCGCCAGGAAGGCCAGGGGGCTGGCTGTCATCACAGAAGCTGGAGAGTGTGTCCCTGGACAGCCATTCACCTCAAAAGAGACCAAGGATGATGGGCATACCCCCCAAAGCTCTGCAGCCCATGGTGGGGTTGTTCTGGCTTCAGGGCAGGGTCCAGGTAGTCCAGGCCCAGGCATCTGAGCTATTCACCTTTGGGGTTGGGCCTTGAGGTGGGAAGGCCACTCTGGGAGCCTTCACGTGAAACATGTCACTGCTGGGATGTGAACCAGTGGGGAGGGGCTGGGCAATTCAGCTGTAGGGTGGGGGTCACCGAAGTCCTCCAAGACCCAGTCAGGCCCGTCCCTCAGGCCCAGAAGGATTTTCCCCATGTCGCACCCAGAAGCCACAGTCCCATAACAATGCCTGTGCCTGAGCCCTTTTCTGCTCCCTGTGGGCACAGAACAGTGATGGAAGAAAGTTGCACTGCTTTCCAGCTAGGCTCCTGTCCCTGAGGGACAGCACAGCCCCTTCCAGAGGTCCTCAGCCACCTCTCCAGGGCACTGTGCTGACGGCTTAGCCACCCCAGGCCCAGGACTAGGACACAGCCCAATCTCAGGAAACCATGTATTAGGGAAGGAAGGTTTTGAAATCTAGATTATAATACCTTAACTGGAGCCATCTGAAAATTGCTTAGCAATCCATAAAGTCCTTTATAACATGTATTATCTAATCCTCAACTAGTTCAGGGAGGTGGGACCCAGAGCATTTTTTTTAAATTTTAAAATGTATAACTTCATTATCAAACACACACATATACAAAAATTAAAATTATTCAAAGAAAAACAATGCAAGGGGGAAAAAAACTATAATAATATTCAAATATAGTAGAACTCAACCAAAACAAAACTGAAAAGTACTTAAACATTTTTCCATATAATTTTTTAAAAATCTCAAGCATTAACAAGACATCAGAGGATGTGCTTTGTTTTAGAAAGATTTTCAAAACTAATATTGAACAAATAGTGGTCTGGAAAAAAAATTTTGGTTAGCTAGTAGACTCTACATAGGCCAAATTTTTTTAAATTTAAATTTCAATACCGTCACATGACACATGATGGAAATATAATCTAAGAAATATGTTTTTTGGCAATTTCATCCGTGTGTATCGCAAAATACCACACAGAGTGCCAACTTCTAAGTGCAAACTGAAAAAGTATACGTCAGTCATCGGTGTTGGCCCTTTGGTATTATCCAAATACCCAGTTAAACACCAGATACATGAGACTACCGCAGGCATAGCAGCACACTGTTTTACAGTAAACTCTTTTATATAAGTAGGATTATGCTCTAAAGGATGAAAAGCATAGCATGTTATGATAAGTACCTAAAACAGTAACAGACATTTATCACACTATCGAGTACTGTGAATTGTACATAGCTGTATGTGCTTCCTCTGGAAACACACCCTTCTCTCCTTTGATCTCAGTGACTCTTCCTTCCCAACCCACTGATGAGCTCCAGCCTAGTCTCTATCTACATCTCTTCCTATAGTTTTAAACACAATCTATATATGGATTCTTTCCAGATTCCAGCCTGTAGCTCTGCTCTCTCCCCTTCCCCTCCTGCCACCTCTACCCCTTTGAACATTTTCTTCATATTTCAGATTATTGATTATTCATTTTTAATCTTTAATTACACTTTGTTTCTCACACTAGAGAAACTATTTGGTATTTGCACATGTGTGTCCTATTTATTTCACTTAAGAGGATGGGCTTAATATGCATCCATTTAGCTATAAATGTCTCTGGTTTCTGGTTCTTTATGGCTGAGTAGTACTCCATTTTATTAAAAAAAAAAAAACACCACATCTTCTTTATCCAGTCTCCAGTTGATGGGCACTTGGGCTGTTTCCAAGCTTTAGTTATTACAAACTGTGTCTCTATAAACATGGGTGCACATATATCACTGCGGTATGATACTTTTAATTCTTTTGGGAAGATATCCAGCAGGGGGATAGCTGGGTCAAATGGGACCTCCAGACCTAGTTCTTTGAGGT